CTCAAAGATCCTCTTGTCCTACCCCTGCCATGGCAGGGACTCCTTCCACCATCCCAGGGTGCTCCCAGCCCCAGTGTCCAGCCTGGCCTTGGGCACTGCCAGGGATGCAGGGGCAGCCACAGCTGCTCTGGGCACCCTGTGCCAGGGCCTGCCCACCCTCACAGGGAGGAATTTCTTCCCAGTATCCCATCTAACCCTGCCCTCTGGCACTGGGAAGCCATTCCCCTTGTCCTGGCACTCCAGGCCCTTGGCTAAGCTCCCTCTCCAAATGCAGTGATATTTTTCCCCCTCACCTCTAGGAATATTCCAACAGGATAAGAAACTTACATGGAAACCAGTTTTACTCAGAATAATTCATATTTGTGTATACATAGACTTACCTTCAGTGTGAATTAGAAATAACACAGCCTTGGGCAGATTCACAAAAACAGCATTTATCCAAAAATGCCAACGGCAGCAGCAGCCAGAAAAATCCTTTCTTGGTTGTGTTGTTTCTTCTTGATCTGCTGGATCTTTGTGATTTCCTTGCTGGAAAGCAGGATCAGGTGGCAGTGCCAGGGTGGGTTGTGGCCTGTTAACACAGATCTGTTCACCCTCCATCCCTGGGCACCCGCTGAGCCACAGGGCTGAAACGTCCTCTGCCCCCAAGCCTGGAATTCCCTGACCTTGGGAGAGGCCGTGCCCCCCCCCGTGGATCCATGTGTAACTCATAGATCTGCTCTAGCCCAGCCCCAGGCACTCAGGCACTCAGTAATCCCTGGCTGGCTCCAGTGCCATTCCTGCAGGGAGCAGAGCGCAGCGTGACCCGCAGCACACGTGTGCCCTTTGCTCCTGCATCTTCCCAAGGAACACGTGTGCTTCCTGGCTGAGCCCCAGGCACTTGGAGCTGACAGACAGACAGGAGGACACCTGGGATGGGCACTGGCCTGAGCCTGTTCCTGGGCTGAGGAGTGCTGTAAACACGACATCTCAGATGTGTGCTCTGGAAACTATGCAGCAGGATCAGACTGGCAGCCAGAATCTGCCCGTGAGGTGGGTCAGAGGAAGGTTTGATGTCCAAAAAAAGAGCAATGGAGCTGGGGAAGGGGCTGGAGCACCAGGAGGGGCTGAGGGAGCTGGGAAGGGGCCCAGCCTGGAGCCCAATAAGAACGGGAAGTTCACCCAAACCATTCTGTGGTTCTGTTCCTTACATTGGAAATGGGAGCTGCTGGCTCTCCATCCCTGGCTTTGCAGGACACATGGGATATGGGAAAGGGGAGCAGTGGGAGGCAGGAAATGCAGTTTCATGCACCTTTGAAATGGGGTTAGGTGGCAGACTGGGGGAGTTTCCTAGAGAGATGCTTTCAGATGCTGTGCAGAGCTCAGGGATCAGCACAGAGCCTGCTCACTGCCCCTCTCCAGCCACTCCTGACTGTTGGGCTGTTCCTTGGACAGCTGGGCAGAAAACAGCCTGGGATGAGTGAGCTGTCTCTGGACAGCCCTGTCCAGGGGAGGTGCTTTGCCCAGCAAGCAGCTCGTTCTGCTGGTTTTTAAGCTTCTCCTGTGGCCAGGTCTGCATTTAATCTCTCTTGGCTCCTTGTATTTTGGTTTAGGAAATTGATCCTGGAAAATTGTTAGGAAGAGCAAAGCAAAGGTTCTCCTCATAATCATGTCTGTTATGAAGGGCAATAAGAAGGGGAAGTGGTTTAAAGTATTTTACCTGCAGGCTGTAATGCACGGGTTACCAAACACAAGGACTCTCCTATTCCTGAAAAAGCCATTTCCCTCTCCAGACAGTGCATCTCAAAGTGCACCACAACAGGGTCCTGGTGCCGTTTCTTGGGAGGGAGCTGGGCTCCTCAGGAGACCTTTCCAAGGCTCAGGGAGGCAGCCCAGGGATGTAGGTGAAAGGCCAGCTTGGCAGATCAGTTTTCCAAAAGACATTCCTGGCCCCCCAACTTCCTCCCTTAAAGGCTCCTGGAGCAGGATTGCTTTGCTCAGTGCTCCACAGGCACAGCCCAGCTCTAAACTAGCTGGGGGGAATTGTGGTTTTTTGTGTGCTGAAATTACTCACTTTCTGGTGCTGCTGGAGCATCAGGGACACAGCCAGGCTGCTGGCAGGGCACAGAGGAGATGGCACTGGTTAAGCCAGGGCTTTTCCTCTCCTGGGCTGCTGCCTTGGGGTCCCTGCAGGCACCTGAGCCTGGCCCATCCATCTATCATGGAATCACAGTGGTGGTTTGGGCTGGGAGGGACCTTAAAGCTGATCCAGCCCCATCCCTTGCCATGGCATCCAGGTGCTCCAAGCCCCATCCAACCTGACTTTGGGCACTTCTAGGGATCCAGGGGCAGCCAAAGCTTCTCTGGGCACCCTGTGCCAGGGCTTCATCACCCTCATAGGGAAGAATTTCTTCCCAATATCTACATCTCTCCTCTTTTAGTTTAAACCCCTTCCCTACCTTGTCCTGTCAGCAGGCTTAGGATTTGTTGTTGACAGAGCATTGCCTCTCCTCTGTAAGATTTGGTCTTCAGAGTTCTGGAAATGATAAAGTAAAACAATAATGGAAAGCCAAAATGCAGTCAGGTCCCAGTGACTACAGCACTGCCATTCCTTTGGCTTTGTGCGGGGAGGCTTTGGCCAGGGGTGGGCACTCACAAGGTCACACACCAGAGCCCCGTTCTGGGTTCAGATCATTCTCTTTCTCCTTGGGGTGGTTTTTCTGTGTATCCACCTTGCCACCCTCTGCCCAGCCCTGTGGTTTGCCACGGCTGAAGGCAGAGCTCTGACCCTGGTGCCTCTCTCCCCAGGGCAGCAGTGGAGCGGTGCCTGCAGGGATCCCCTACCGGAGAGCGGCTCGGCCCAGGCCCAGCCCGCAGCTCTCGCAGGAGGAGGCCAAGAGGATCGCCAGGATCTTCTCTGCTCAGCTCTCCACGAAGGAATAGTGCTGCCCAGAGACCCTGCACAGCACAGCTTCCTCACCAGGCACGGGCAGAGGCAGAGCCCCCCAGGGAAGGGGAGTGGAGGCCACAGCCTTCAGGCTCTCCTTTTAGTTTGCCTCATTGGTTGGTTAATTGGAGTCCCCTGTTTAGAAGGGCTTAAAGCCTGTGGCACCCACAGGGAGCTGTGTCCTGTAGGGGCAGGTCCCCAGTGAGACACACCCCTGTGGGTAACCCATGACCTGTTATCTGCTCTCCAACTAGCCCAGTTTTAGGATTTATTCCTGTGAAATAGCCCTTTCAAAAATAGTTGGTGAGCAGCACAATTCTCTGTTTCCTCAGGTGCCCAAAGTGCTTGTGTGAACACAGACCAAGGGCACATAAAATCTGGTGGGTGTACAAAAGAGGGTGACTAGAAAAATGAGACTTTTATATTTATATTTAAATTATTTTTGTACACCTTTCAGAGAACAGACTTTGATGCCGGCAGAGCTCAGTTATTTTTGTACTGCTCTCTCCAGTGTTTGTTTCAATAAAATTCCCATTTTCTTGTCAGCCTGTGCAAAGTGTCCCTATGGCAGGGCAGGAACCTTTCCTCAACAGTAGACAGGAGTCTCTCCCACATGAGCTCCAGGTCAGAGAAATGCTGCTGGAAGCTGGGGTGGCCAGGAGCACATGGAAAGAGCAGGGCTTTGCCAAGGAGTCGAGTGTCACCCTGCAGCACAGCCCCATGGGGGCCAGGTCGCTTCCAATCTGAGCTGCTTTTCAAGCCACGCCTGGAATTCAGGATTTCAGCAGCCAAAGGATCAGCATTCCCTTTTTTCTCCCACTTCTGCAGCATTGTTTTCCTCAGGGACACCCTGAACGCGTCAGTCACTGCTGGCACAGCTTGCCCTGTGCTTGTGGCCCCTTCCCCTGCCCTTGCTGGTGGGGATGGAAAGCAAAGGCACCCAGCGTCCCCTGGAAGGACAGGAGTGACGTGCAGGCTGCTTTCTCCTGGTGGCATCCCAAAAAAGCCTCGGGCGGGCTGCCAGCTGGGCTGGGCTGGCTGCCACAGAGGAGGTCACAGCACTGACCCCGAGCTGTTTCTCGGGCATGAGGTAAACACGTTTTCCTTTCAGCTTTGGGTCAGCCCTGGAGCCAGGCAGGAAAACAAGGCAGGAGCCAGCTGGAGAGGGGTGTTGGTGCCAGGCAGCTTTGCCCTGAGGGATGGGGCAAAGGTGGCTCCAGGTGCACGGTGAGCTCAGGTGTGAGTGTGGAGGCTCAGAGCACATCCTGAGGGACCCTTCTGCATGTGGGGCTAACGAGCACCAAGGGTTAAACTCACAGAGTTTTTAAAAAAGGAGGGAAAGGGGCCTTTTCTCACTCCACCTTGGCCTCCAGCCTCCTGTCCTGAGCCCAGCCCCAGTGCCCAGCCACGCTCTGAGGGTGCCATGGGTTTGGTGGTGTATTTCACCCCAAGGTGCTCACCCAGCCCCAGCTCCACGGGAGCTTGGGAACACGTTCCACCATACAGGGGCAATCCTGCTGGGACCTCAGCAGCTCTCTGGGATGGATTGAGGTTCATGGTTTGTGTTGGGCAAAGGGATCCAGCCTGCCCTGCACAGAGAGCTCAGTGCTGCGCTGCCCCCAAACCACTTGGTAAGCTTTGGGGTGAGGGTTTTCTGCATCTCGTCCTTCCCGAGTGTTTCAGGGTAAAAACCGACATTCCTCCCCAGTGCAATGCAGGGGGTCTGGGCAGGGCCCCCCTCCCCATGCCTGAGCCCCGGCATGAGGCAGCCACCTCACTGGGTGCCAGGTGACCCAGTGCCATCAAGTGAAATGCCACCGGGGGGACACTGTTTTCCTGTCACCCGATCCTGGCTGCTGGAATGCCCTGGGTGCTATATAAGGGTGGGGCCAGGGGCCGGCTCTCAGGCACTGCCTGTGCAAGGCAGGAGCTGGAACACCGAGGTCCCCACGGTGAGGGCACGGAGGGACGTGGCTCGGGCAGGTCACTCGAGGGGAGATGATCTCACCCAGCATCGCCTGTGTGGCTGGGGTGGGATAGGGAAGGGTGGGCATTGCTGAGCAAGCCCCGTGCCTCAGTTTCCCTGCGGTAGAAGGGAGCAGACAGGGCAGGATATGGATTTTAGGACTGACCAAAGGCACCAAGAGGCACCACGGCACATCATCGTCACCTCGGTCGCCGAATAGGACAGCCACGTGAAGCCCTGTCCTGACGCACCCCGCCGGCTCCCCCACAAACCCTCCTCTCCTTCCAGCCCCTGTGCCACCATGGTGGGTCTGAAGCCCCCCGAGGTGCCCCCGTCGGCCACCGTGAAGTTCGTGAGCGCGGGGATGGCGGGCTGCATCGCCGACCTGTGCACCTTCCCCCTGGACACCGCCAAGGTGCGCCTGCAGGTACGATCCAAACCCCGGGCAGAGGGAGCGACCTGACCTGGGACTGCCCCACCCGGAGCTGGGCACACCTGGCGGGGAGCAGAGGGTGGGGTGACACAGTGGGCACCCACAGATCCAGGGCGAGGTGAGGATCCCCCGCACGGTCGGCTCGGTGGAGTACCGGGGCGTTCTGGGCACGCTGAGCACCATGGTGAGGACGGAGGGAGCGCGCAGCCTCTACAGCGGGCTGGCAGCCGGGCTGCAGCGCCAGATGAGCTTCGCCTCCATCCGCATCGGCCTCTACGACTCCGTGAAGCAGCTCTACACCCCCAAGGGCGCTGAGAGTGAGTGTCCCGGAATTCCCTGTGCGCCCCCTTCCTGAGGCACTGCCCTTTCCAGAGAGGAACTCACCCCGGGGGCACAGCGCCCTGAGATGCCCCTGTGCGGCACCACAGGCCGCTCACGCCGGGTTCCCTGTGGGGCTGGGTGTCCCTGTGGGGCTGGGTGTCCCAATACCCGTCCTCTGCAGACACAAGCATGGCTACGCGGCTCCTGGCCGGCTGCACCACGGGCGCCGTGGCCGTGGCCTGCGCCCAGCCCACCGACGTAGTCAAAGTGAGGTTCCAGGCCAGCGGGGCCCAGTGGGACAGCCCCCGGCGCTACAGCGGCACCGTGGACGCCTACCGCACCATCGCCAGGGAGGAGGGCGTGCGCGGGCTCTGGAGAGGTGCGCCTGGGCAAGGGATGGGCCTGGGAAAGGGGTGGTAGTGACTATGAGGAAGGGCAGAAGGACGGGGGCAGCAGGGCTGGGGCACCTGCCCAGGATGCTCCAGTCGGGGCTGTGAGCAGCGATCCCAACGCCACCACCCTCCTTCCCCCAGGGACGCTGCCCAACATCGCCCGCAACGCCATCATCAACTGCGGCGAGCTCGTCACCTACGACCTGCTCAAGGACGCGCTGCTGCGGGCGCAGCTCATGACAGGTGAGCACGGCACAGGGAGGGGACACGGCCGGGCGCCACCCCTGTCCCTGCAGCGTCCGAGCCCCGGCTCTGCCCACCCCCAGACAACGTCCCGTGCCACTTCGTGGCCGCCTTCGGCGCCGGGTTCTGTGCCACGGTGGTGGCGTCGCCGGTGGACGTGGTGAAGACGCGGTACATGAACGCCAGCCCCGGGCAGTACCGCAATGCCCTGAGCTGCCTGCTGGCCCTGCTCATGCAGGACGGCCCCGCCGGCCTCTACAAGGGGTGAGTTCAGCTCCTGCGGACCGGCTGCGGTCACCGCCCGGGCCGCGGCACGGAGCCCCCAACACCCCGACCCGCGGGCAGGATTTGGGGGATCCCCGCTCTGGGGATGGCCCCGCACGTCCCCTGAGCCCCGCTTGTGCCGGCACAGCTTCGTCCCGTCCTTCCTGCGGCTGGGCTCCTGGAACGTGGTGATGTTCGTGTCCTACGAGCAGCTGCAGCGCCTGATGGTGCTGGCACGGCCGGCGCTGGCCTGAGCCCCCGGCGCCCCGGGCCGCCCGGCGAGGCTCACATCGATTACATTAATCGCATCCATTCTATTCATTGCCGGAGCGCCGGGGAGCAGCGGAGCCACGGGCCCGGGGAGGGACGCGAGGAGGAGGAGGATGCTGTAGAAGGAGAAGCGCGGGAGAACAGAGGCTTTCAGAGAAGAGTTGTAAGGGACGGAGGAAAAAATGTTTGTTGGCTTTGCAGCCGGGAAGAGCAGCGCTTCCCGAGGGCGGTGCTGTGGGCAGGCGGGACCAAGCTGAGGGCCAGGGAATTCCCGTTGTTCCTCACTGGCGCTTCCAATAAATCGCCCCTGTGGGGTGTGATCACAGCGTGGCTCAGGGTTTCTTTGCCTTTTTGGGGTGTTCAGGGCCATTGTCCAGCTCTACGTGTGACACAAGTCCAGCACATTCTCTGTCACTGCCGGTGCACTGAACAACTTCCCACTGATCTCTGATTATTCGGGTCATTGTCACAATCACCAAGAGCAGCTCCACCTTCTGCCCTGCCGAGGCAGCAGGTCCTTGACCCACGGCAATCTCTCTAAAGCCTCAAATGGTCCCGTTATAGGACAGTGAAGATGTGTATCCTGAGCAGGAGAGGACACAGAATTCCCTTTCCCTGTTTCCCAAGCATAAACCGCTGGGAATTGCTTTCTCCCCATGGGTCACTGGCAGGAACAAGGTTCCCTCTGCTGTCACTCCATCTTTAGCACCCTCATTTGTCACAGACGCTCAGCTCTATTTCAGAGACTCCCGTCAGACACCTGCTGGCTGTGATCAGAAGCAATTCCCCAGGCGGGTTTTACCCCCGGGAGCAGCAGGAATGGCCAAGGACAGCTGCTGTCCCGGGACAAGGCGGCCGGGCTGCGGTTCCGTGCCCGGCCCCGTGCCCGCCTGCAGAACGCGGGGTCGCTCTCTCCGCCCCGTCCCTGTGCCGGGATCGGGACAATTCCCCGGCTCGGGCAGGGGACGGTGCCCTCGGGTGCCCCCGGAGGGGACAGGGGTGCCAGGGGCCAAACCCCGGGCGGGGCGGCACCCCCAGGGCCGTGTGTGCCGTGGCGCTGCTGCCGGAGCCGCTGCCGGGCGGGACGGGTTTGTGCCGGCACTCGCGGCTCGCTGCGATCGCGGTCCATGGAGCGAAACCCGCGCCGCGCTCCGGCTGCGGTTCGATGGGATGGGCTCCGCTCTCGGCAGGCAGCGGGACGGGGGTCCCTGTGCCACCCCACGGGTCCCAGAGAGAAGCTGCTCCTGTGGCCGAGGAACAGCGGGGAAACTGAACAGTCCTGAGGGAAACCGACGGAAAAACAACTTTGGTTTGGGTTTGGACGTGACATTTTACCCCTGGCCCCCACCTGATCCGGATGTTTTGCCTTAGGGAACAGGAGACAGAAGGGGAAATGGGGAAACAGATAATTTGTTACCCCAAAAGGGACGAGCCTATTTCTGTTAATTCCTGAAACACCTGGAATGATTTGGGTCTCGGAAGCACCTGGGAGCCTCCCTTGGAATCCTGGGAGGAGCCGTGGTTATAAAAGGAGGAAAGGATGGAGGCAGGGGGGGTTCGGGGGGGAGAGGAGCAGCGCTGCCTTGGGGATTGGCATCTGGAAGCGGCCACCAGTTTCCTGCTGGGAATCCCGGAAAGAGAACTCGGTGAGAAATGCGAATGCTGCAGCTGGAGTGCTGGGAGGGGACAGTCTGCAGGGAATGTGTCTGGTGAGTCTCCTCATGCCCCATATCTGATGCTGGGCTGGCACCAGGGCACCTCATTCCCATTGAAACTCTCTGGAAATGCACTTAAATTACAAACTGGACTGCAAAAGGCACGTGGGAAGCTTTGTGTCCCTAAGGGAATGCTCTAGGGATGTGCAGCCTCCGACCTGCACAAATAACTCCTGCTCCCACAGAAGCCGGCTGGCTCTAGGGCAGGAGTGGCAGCAAAGTGGCAGCCCCAGTGCCACCCCAATAAGTGACTGTCCTTGGGGCTCTCGGGGCCGGGAGGGAATGCTGTCCCTGCCCCTCTGGGAAAGCAGGAGCAGGATCAGTGCTGCAGCTGGGTCTGTTCCTGCTCTCTGGCTCCAGGGTGCCCCGGAGGGCTCTGGCTCGGGATAATCTGTGTGTGAGAGCTTCCCGTGCCTGTGCCAAACCCCTCTGGGCACAGAACGTGCCCAAAAGCTCCATTAACCCTTTCTGTTGTGCTGCCAGGGCAGCGTGTGAGCCCAGGCCCTCCTCCCTGGAGCAGGGACACCCGAGGATGAGCCCCGGGGATTCAGCCATCAGAGCAGGTGAGGATGGATCTCTTTGCCCTTGGCAATTGCTCTGCTGGTTTAATGTCACACTGCAGGGCTCCTCCAGCCCCTGTGCCCTGCAGCCGCACCCACAGCCCCTGGGCTGGGCAGGGAACAGCTCTGGGAGGGAAATGGATGTGCAGGAAATTTCCAGAGTCTGACAGAAGGCTCACATAGTGTGGATCTGTATGGAAATTCTGAGGTAAGAAATGCTGACTTAGAAATGCCACGGAATAGGACAGACATTGCTGAGAGAGAACTGGAGCTGGAAACAAGTTGTAAAGGATGACTTTGTAAATAAGACTGGATACCTGAGAGAAATCGAACTATGAAAGATGCATTGTAATAAGATTCACAAGGGGTAATTTTAGATAATTGGCTTTAAGGCATTTACAGCATGGTGTGACAAAAACTGATAGGCCAAGAAACACAGTGTATTGGAATTAGGAAATGGTTGGCTGCTGATTGTGATGGTGAATTCTAACATCTGTATTGTCTCACCCTTCACATGAGACTGAACATGGAATCCAAGTTTTTAAAATGCCTCTCAGTTGCCCCATGTCTGGGTCAGAAAGGAGCACAATCTGATAAACTGGAGCTTTGTGTGAGGAAGATTTAACAGATTCCTTCCAACCTTCTCTGGGGTTCTTGTGCCCAAGGGGCTCTGACCCCAGAGCCACACAGGGTGTCTGTGCCTGCATCAATGTCAGTGCCATTTGCCAAGTCTGGCAGGAAAGCAGAAACATCCTGGGTTTGTTGGGCCAGAGATGGAACATGGAGGTGTCTGTGCTAGCAGGGTGTGAGTGCTGCCAGCCTGGGCTCTGTGGTGCCCCTGTCCCTCAGCATCAGGACAAGGAGGGAAGCTGCAGGTGAGGCAATTTTGGCTGTTCCAGACTGCTTGGGCCAGAACTGGCAGCACTGGAAGAACAGCTTTCCTCCTTCTGTCTGTCCATCCCTGAGCAGAACATTGAGATGATGCTGCACTGAGCCCTCTCTTTTGTGGTTGTTGTTTGGTTGGTTTGTTTGGGTTTTTTCTGTTTTTAATGTATTTCTAAGTGGTGCAGTGAGGAGCAAGGTGCTGGTTCCATGATTTCTGACTGACACATCACAGAAATGGGCACAGGTGAGCGCATGTGCTTCCTGGCACATCCAGTGTGCCATCCTGAGTGAGGATTTCCAGCCCCAGCAGCAGTGGCACAGCTCCTCACTGCTCAGTCACTGTAACAGCTCCCTCCTTTCCTGGGCACATCCCTGGAGTGGGAGCAGAGTCCCCTGACCCTGCAGGAATTCCCTGCTCCTCTGGAGAGGGGTGAGGCCAAAGCCTGGGGGCACAGGACAACAGCCAAAGCAGGCCCATTGTGTCCTTGGTGCCTCCAGGACAGCGTGTTTGCCTTGTTCCCAGCACTGCTGAATCTAAACAAGATTTATTTTTGACAAGATTGCCTGTTCTTCACTTCTCCAGCTCTCCCCCACACCTGGCCCTGCAGCTGTAGCTCACCTTGCCCTGGCTGTGGCTGATAAAATATCATTTTTGTAGCAGCAATCCATTCTTTTAAAGAGCACAGAGTGTACAGTGCAGAAGAGACTTTGGGAAATCCATCCAAGTAAGGGACTCTGCCTTCCTGCTGTTCCTGTAGCTCTCCTTCCTGCTTTCACCTGGGCTGGCAGGATGGGCAGGCCCATATTTATCATATCAAAGTGCTGTTACTGGATTTGTCCAGAAGTTCTGATTGCAGACACTCATTTTCTGACAGCAAACATTTTCACTTTGCCTTTGCCCTGTTGTTCCCAGGTGCTGCCCAGGCTGTCTCTCTGTGCTCCCAGGAGGAAGGGCAGCCCCTGCCTGGCCTGCCCAGCCCCGCTGGATGGGACAGGACTGCGTGGCCTGGCAGGGCAGGAACAGCTGGCTGTGCTCTGGAGTGCCTTGGACCCTTCCCCTGGCAGCTTTGGAGGGGTTTCTCTTTGGGATTGCTTGTGAGGCACCAGCCCTTTGTACAAAGCCCAGTGCTAAAGGAGTGACAAGTGAGATGTGAGATAAAAATGGTTCTGTTAAAATGAGGCAAAGAATGCAATAAGAAAAATGAGCTTCCTTTTAATGTCTGAAATGGTTAGGAACAGAAATGCTGGAAAAGGGCACTTTTATGTTTGAATTGGTGTCACCTCTCATGGATAAAACCCCACAGTGAGCCATCAGAGCACAAGTGTGGAAACTGGATCCTTTGACTTCCACAGTGGAATTAATTTTCTTTTCCTCCTCTCTTTCAGGCCAGCAAAAATCCCCAAGCTCCTGCCACCTTTGCCAAACCCTTTGGTGTTCCAGCAGCCACAGCCAAGAGGCCCCAGCACAGGGCTCTGCCTGGAGGGCTCAGGCCCTGCCCTGCTGTGGGGTGAGTCAGAGGCACACAGGGCTCCTCTTGTCCTCCCTGCTGCATTCACTGCCTGGGGATGCCATTGCTGCCAGCCCAGCCCTGGCACTGCTCACAGGGCCCAGGGGGAGGGAAGGGACCAGGCTCTGACCCATGGGTCACAGGGCTGGTTTGTTATTTTATGGTATATATTACATTAAATCTATACTAAAAGAATAGAAGAAAGGATTTAATCAGCAGGCCAGCTAAGAGTAGAAAAAGAAGGAATGATAACAAAGGCTTGTGGCTGGCACAGAGAGTGTGAGCCAGCTGAGTGTGACTGGCCATTAATTAGAAACAACTACATGAGACCAATCACAGATGCTCCTGTTGCATTCCACAGCAGCAGATAATCAATGTTTGCATTTTGTTCCTGAGGCCTCTCAGCTTCTCAGGAGGAAAATCCTAAG